TCCTATTGTTTACTATATTTATTTATTTGCTTGGTCAGTGTCATTGTGGGTGTTGGTTCTTTTACTGTTGTAGGCTGTAAGGACCTTTGAAATAACTGAAATCATTTGGCGACGTGATATGGAACTGTAATGGTGTCAAGACCAGCCTGGAACTACTTTAGCCGTGCGTTTCCCTGAAAATAACTGCACGCCTTAGAAGAACGTTCATTAACCACTCAGATTCAAGCATTCAACAGCCCTGCAGTATAACTTGAATTAATGTAAATCGCTTTAGGTTAAAAACGCATTTGACAACTGCATTAATCTCAATGGTTATCAGCCATACATTAATTTTTTGTTAATATTAGTGCATCCCTACTTGAATGTACTGTCACTAGAAAATATTACAGCTGTGAAGCCCAACACAGTAAAGGCCCTTTCACACTGAGAAAACATATTTCCTCATGTATGTCTCTTGCAGGATTTCCCATCTGGCTTTAACCTCGTCCGCTGCACAACATACAACAGTACATTAAGATAAATACAGTTTGGTACTACACAGAAACCACCATGGAGTGCATGTAATAACTTTTGACTGCGATCTAAAGTGGATTTTGATTAAATAACGGGCAGACGTGCATTATTTGTAGTGTTTTATAATAAACTGAACGCTACACCTGCTATGCATTTCTCATGTAATCATTTCTCATTCTTTATTGTAATAAAAATACCCCGAGCCGCATGAAAAACACATACAGACCATAGATCGTCGTAATCATATATTTGGCTTTGTGATTCATCTGCAGAAACGTTTTTTCACGGTTGTTTATGTGCGGAACCGTGCGAAACTCAGAACGAGGAAATGAACACAGGGGTTATTATGATCATATAATATGATTGACAGCTCTAGAGCGAATTAGCTCTCTGACTCATAACAGGAAGAAAACAGCGCTCTGTACGCTGTTTCAAGCTCTTCAGAATGCATAATTCAGTGGAAAATGAATAGAAATGATAATCTGTATAAAGAACATGTAATGATAAATCTGTTCTCAGACACCAATGATAACACCAGGGACGTGCACAGGAATTTTGTGGGGCAGTTGCTCTGACCTGAAAAAAGGGCACTACCCCCAAAACTCACGGGCTATATGAAGGAATATATTCAGTTGAATTTTGCCCATACAAATTGCCTTATCTGATCGTGTTTATGTCCAAACGCAATGCCTCATATTATGGTCTTATTATTATTTATAAAGATTGCAAACGTCAAAGATGACAGGTTTATGATATACAACTTTGTAAACAGTATACAAAATGTATTAACAATATGTTAAATGTCACCAAAATACACATGAGAAAAAGAGTTCCTCATATTATTGTTTATTGTTTTTTAATTATTATTATTATTTATTATTTTTAAATAAATAATCTGGATTGAATTGACAGATGGGGAAAAACTCGCTTCTAATAAAAATAAAAAAAACGCTTAGATTTCGGAAAAAATACAATCCTTTTTTAACCTTTTGGCTTCCCGTACATTCAATTGTGCTTTTTGCTCATCTGGGCAACTACGCATGATTTGTAGTATGATTGCGTAAAGGGAACAGGAATTCCGGTAAGGAACAGAATCGACTGCTAAACCCAGTGCCGATCCTGACCTCCCCCTGGGGCCCTAAGCAAAATTCCGCTAATGGGCCCTCTACCTGACCTGTGATGTCGTGAGCTATGTAAACCATTTGCCATTGCCACAGTCACACCTGACACTTCAGCGCTCCCATACAATCCTCCCTCCTTTAAACAAAACAGTCAAAGAATAAGTACAACAATATAGAACAGAATGAGGTTCAAACACACAATATTTATTGAATAGAGTATTTTCTATAGAATGTTAAGATAATAAGTGAATATTATTAAGTAAGTGAATATTAACGTAAACATAAATAAGAAGAAAATAATAAATTATAACCCTGAGCTTTGGCTTTTGGGATTAACTTTGGTTCTTTCTACAGCCTGGGCATTTTCGGCATCAGTATGATTTTTTAATTTTTTATTATGCATGTTGAAGCAATTCTTGATTTATGGTTATTATTTACTGAGGGATGTGCATCCATTTTGACCAGTATGTCCAGCTAATCAACATTTTTAATTCAATATAGCCTTTAAATCAATAGTCAATCAATGTCAAATTGTCAATACAGTGCTTTCTATCTTGCATAATTAGTGCAGTTGTTTAGAGTTTTTAACTACACTGAGACTAGATAATCAGTGTCTTGTTTTATAATGTGTACTTTGATTGGGAGTGCCATCATTCACGTGCATATATTGTACAGTGTGTCTGGTCTCCACATATTTCTGCTTGAAAAATGCGAGTTTCATTTCGGCAACGAGCATATGAACGCATGATAACACACGCGACGCGGTTATGTTTTCCGAGCTGCAGTAAACAAACACCGTTGCACTTTGTCGTTTATCAAAATCAAACGTAATAAATAATTGTATTTTACTCTCACTTTTGTCAGCCAAAAAGTGATGCAAGAGATGCACTGCCTGCCCAGCTAGGTTAGCAAGACCAAAAAACATCAAACTTTGCTGACATCAAACTTAGAGAGGAGAGAACACAAGTTTACCTGATTGTTGTTCCCGCAATTCACTCTCATGGTTTTTTTCTTCTTCCTCTTTTCGTGACCAGAAGGATAGTTTCGCTTCATTTTGTCGTGGATGTTGTAGCTACATTTGACGGCGCGCTATGACTATGACACGAGATGGAGGCGTGGCCTTAAGTAATTTGCGTGGCCCTACGCCGGTCGCGTGCAGTCTATGGTCGCGTGCAGCGTTTGCCCTTCATACTGACTTTCACTTTCGGTGCCCGAATGGAAGTGAATGAGGCTTTGCGATTTTTTTTTTAATCTAGGCCTACGTGAAATTCTGCATCCATTGTACGATTTAATTTTTTTCTCGGAAGGGCAACTTGAGTGAGAAGGGCAACTTGAGTGAGAAGGGCATATGGGCAGTTGCCCGGGCAACCTGAGCAACCCCCCTGTGCACGTCCCTGGATAACACTCAACATCCATTTTACAAAACGGCGCCATCACTCTCACACTTTTGTGCAACAGCAGCGGCTCGGGTAAACTCAAATCTAATTGGACGGCTCGTTTCATCGCAGGGTGACGGGAAAACAAATCGACAAAAAAAAATTCTCACTTTGTCGCGCTGCGTGCGATTGATCGCGAACGGTGTGAATAGTTCCATAGGGATCTATTGTTTCGACTCAAGAGCGCCATCGCGACGTACACTCGCACCGTTTATTCTCGATCAGTGTTTAAGGGCCTTAACATTGGCTCAACCAATGGTGTGAGCTCAGCGTGAAATTTTCAACCAATGGCAGATAGGGGAGTGTTGGAGAAATCACTTTATGATGAGGTAGATTCTAGAGTTGTTCCGATAATAGTATCGGAAATGCCGCCGATACCAATAAAAATTCTGGCATCGGTATCGGCGAGTACTTCTACCCATGTTCCGATCCGATACCCTTTTCTTAAACAATAACTAGTTATGCATGCTAGCTTTGCTTAACGCTGCAAAACGAAGATCAATTCTTCTTTGCTGCTCTAAACAGTGGTTGCTTGTGGCAACACAGGAAGTTAGCGAAGAAGAAAGCGCACGCTAGGAGTATGTTCGCTGTTTGGCAGTATTTTAGACTGGACCAACCAGCCAGTAAAACGGCGACATGCCTCATATGCCATACTGCAATTTTGAGGGGTGGCACAAGATTAGCAGTTTCGACACCTTAAAGGGGTCATATAATGCCATTTTTGTACAAGCTAATATGATTCTTTAGGGTCGAAATTAAAAGTTTGTAATATACTTTAATTAAAAATTCTCATTAGTATTGTAAGAAAACACTTATTTTACCTGGTCAAAAACAGCTCCGTTTTCAGCACGCCGTTTCAGTGCATATGCCTTTAAATGATCATGAGCTGCGCTCACTCCGCCCCTCTGTTCTGTGCATACACCGTTTGTAACACAATAACACAATAACCATAACGCGTTGTTCAGTATAAACGTGGAATTATGAATTATATTGAGAACGTCATACATAGAAAACATGCCGTAATGTACCCTGACTGAGTGTAAACCTTAGACGCATTCATTGTGAAGCGTGCAGCTAGCGATTTGCAAAGATTAATATAAAGTTTAATAAAACGTTTCACTCACTTCCGTTCTTCTGGAGGTTCAGCAGGAACACGAATATCTGGGAACGTTACCGATCCTTTTTAGCAAAGCTTATTAGCAAATCCAGCTTTATACTGACCCTCGTTTATAAAGCAGTCTGCTGTGAAATGATTCGCGCAAACATGAAAGCATTGACGTTGCTCGTGTGGAATATTCCCTTCGAAAACAAAACTCAGCCACTGCGTCTTCAGCGGTTCGGATTTAGGAACATTAAAATGACTGTGTTCGTTATTACACCCAAGAATAGAACACCACAATCGCTTAGACGCCATTCTGCTCATAGACAGTGCTCCGGCACAGCAACAATGACCGTGCCGGTCCGGTCCGCGCCGCGCAGACTATGATTGACAGCTACCTCATGTGCGAGGGCGGGTCTGTGTTGAAACGCTCCCGTCAATCAACAATCGTGGGAGGGGCGTCCGTTTTATTGACGTCACAAAAACGAACGGCTCGATTTGAGGCAGGGGAAAACATATAAGGAGATTAAAACAAAACCACTGGATGGATTTTTATCATTATATGATGTTTGTGTACAGGCACTGCCAACACACATTTCAGTACAATCAACTTGTAAAAGTGCATGTACCATTATATGACCCCTTTAAAGGGTTAGTTCACCCAAAAATGAAAATTAAGTCATTAATTACTCACCCCCATGCTGCACCAACCTCGTAAGACCTTCGTTCATCTTCGGAACACAAATGAAGATATTTCTGATTAAATCTGAGAGGTGGATCACTGCTAGGTAGGCTGCCTAAGGGAATGAAACTTGACGGCCCAGAAAGTCATTAAAGAAAATGTTTAAATATTCCATGTGCCTACAGCGGCTCAACTATAAGTTTATCAAGCGACGAGACTACTTTTTGTGCGAAAAAAACACATAAATAACGACTTTATTTGACTATTCCATTACTTCCTTGTGGGCCTTGAGACGAGAGTTGAAGAGATTTCCAGAACGCATGCGCGAGAACTGAGAAGAGGACGTTCTTCTTCTACTACTTCTTGTTCAGTTCTCGCGCATGCGTCGTGGAAATCTCTTGAACTCTCGTCTCAGGCCCACAAGGAAGTAATGGAATAGTCGAATAAAGTCGTTATTTATGGGGTTTTTTCGCACAAAAAGTATTCTCGTCGCTTGATAAACTTATAGTTGAGCCACTGTAGGCACATGGAATATTTAAACATTTTCTTTAATGACTTTCTGGGCCGTCAAGTTTCATTCCCTTACGAAGCCTATGTAGCAGTGATCCAGCTGTCAAATTTAATCAGAAATATCTTCATTTGTGTTCCGATGATGAACAAAGGTCTTACGGGGTTGGTACAGCATGGGGGTGAGTAATTAATGACTTAATTTCCATTTTTGGGTGAGCTAAAGACGCGTCACCCCGCAGAACACAATGGCAAGGGTAGAGAAGGATGAGCCGCGCCAGAAATAACAATCTCTGGAAGCTTCATTCAAACGAAGAGAAAAGTTTTCAAAAGATAGCCAACGAGCGATAAATATAACCGACAAAATTAGCGAGTTTATTGTTCTGGATGACCAGCCGGTGTCAACTGAAATGCCGTGTATTTAACAAAATTGTTTCTGGACTTTAAGTTATAAAGAGGTTAGTTTATTATATTAATCATATATAATTTTTTAGATTCCTAGATTTATTTGTTGCACTTTTTTATACAGTAAAATACCTTTTTCAGTTTAAAGTATTAGATGTGTGGCTGCATTTTAAGTTCTTTTTCACTTAAGAAAAATAAATAATATATTGCTGTGAAATGTATGTCAGCTAATAAAAATACTCTAGTTCACTGTATGTATTTGTTCATGTTTTATTAAGGGATAAGTCTGAAGCACACCATAAAATAGTTCTATCAGTTCATACAGGGCTAGTATGAATTGCAGCTGTATATACGTAGATACACACCCAGGTATCGGATCAGTACTCGGTATCGGCCGATACCCTGAGTCCAGGTATCGGGAAGGGAAAAAGGGTATCGGAACATCTCTAGTAGATTCTTCACATTATTTCAAGCATCTGCCTTTATATAGTATTGTAAATGGCCTTTTAATATTCCTGTGCAGTTGCGTCCCGTTTCTCTTGACTTCTAACTTCAGATTTATAGGTTGTGGAACTTGAAGAGCTTCATGGTTAACTCATCTTTTGCACCATGACGTCAGACTCCAGGATCTGCAGTGAGGATTTGGGAGGCACTATACCCCAGGCATCAGGAATTAGTCACCTCTTATCTTCAGTGAGCAGCTATATTTCCCTCTAATCTTATCTCCCAGTCAGTGTTTTTTTAAAGACGGGCTCTAGTGCGAATCCCTGTGCCTTCAGGAGCATGCTGAACACTGCATTGCACCTGACACTGGCAGCAATTTGTATCTTGGACCTACATAAAGACATAAGGTGACACAGCTTCCTGGAAAGCAGAAGAGTGATTCTCCTTTAAAGACCTCGTTTCTGTTAATTACTCTAGAGCTGTAGTATGTGAGTTATTATTAGGTCCCAAATCATAGTACATTGAAAATACAACGTGAAAGGTCCACAGATGGTGTATTATTTCTGGTGGACTTTTCAATATCGGTGAATTCTGTTTTGCTTAGCTTTGTTTTGTTTTTGTTTGTTGTTGTTTTGCTTTGTTTGTTTTTGCTTTGTTTTTTTTTGTGTTTTGCTTTGTTTTGTGTTTTTTTCCCCTGGTTTTTTTGTATTGCTTTGTTTCGTTTTGTGTTGCTTTGTGTTATATTGTTTTGCTTTGTTTGGTTTTGTCTTGGTTTAAAACAGTCTCATTAAAATAATTACATTCTTGAAAAGAAACCTAATTAGTTTGGCATAATATTTTATTAGTATTTCCTAGAGAAAAAAAAAAATGCTTCAATGCTTATTAATATTTAAACTTTTGCTCATATATTAAGTGTATTACATTATATTAAAATATATTGTATTATATTAAATTATAAATAATTGGAGTGATATCTTAAGGCTCGTACACACGGGACGAATATCGGCGCGCGTTATTCGCCAGCGTTTTTCAACGCGTTTTTTGTGTTCACACCCAAGTGATTTTTGCTGACGATGAGCCGAGTGAACATGCAAATTCATTCCCTGACATTAGATGGCGCCCATTTGCTCTGCAATACCACTCCATAACAGTTCTCTTTTATCAAGATGTTTATAGTCGCTGTCGCGTTTGTCATATAGTTCTTTATGTTCCGACACCAACGAGACCAGCAGCTCTACATTCATCTTGCCTTGCATCTTCCTCGTCTTATTTCTTCCCGGCAGTGTAGACGCTACTTGGCGTATATCTTCTTCGCCGTTACGTATGTGTACTCGGCAAGACCATTTTGTGTTTGAGCGCCCCCAAGTTGTGTTTTACCTGGTTTTACTGTAACTTCAGAAGCTCCAGACACGTGAGCAAAAGCGCCAATCTCATTGGTCGGATAGTTTTTGACGCGGTGCGTCAAACTAAAAAAACAACCCCAAGGCGTTTTTAAAAAAATGGCGCTTTTACGCCTGGCGTTTTTCGCGTCGGTGTGCACACTCACATTGCCGCCCTTTGTTTAGTCACGAGGCGTTAAACGTCGGCGAATATCGCATGCGAAATTCGTCCCGGTGTGAACAGGCCTTTAGGATGTACAATGACCACAATTATATTTATGAATTAATCATTTATGGATGCTATTTGTAAAATACTTTTAACTTTGGAAAAATATATTTCAAAATTAATAATTAAAACATGTGCACTTACATGTATTCATAACAAAAGAAACATATTTTACTTGATGGTTACACCGCATGACATTTTTCGAGTTAAAACGAACCTTTTCCTACATGGTATAAAGGTTTTCAAAACCATATGAAGCTAGCATAAATGCAAAGAGTACAGAATGTGTTTTAAGCTAGATTGTTTAAAGCACATCTTTTCTTTGTCTTGGTCAATCTTATTTGACATTGCCCCACATACAAGCAGTACATGAAACCATTCTACTGTGCCATCATTGTAGTATGTCTAATACAAACTGAGATGCGAAGTAAGATGTAGTGTTCTAGTTAAATATTCAAAGCCACGCTATTATCTGAACTCTTATTGCGGCATTCGAATACAGTACAAATAACATGCATTGTGAGTGAGATATGCCTACACAACATTTTGCACACAAACAAAACAATCTATCAAGTTGTATGGATGAAAGTAGCAGGATTGAAACGGTGTACAGTTTCCAAACAAAGCGCAGAGTAATCCACTGAGATTCCACCTCAGTTTGCCCCTGCAAAGGGATTACGCGTCTACCTCGGATCAAAGCTGGGCTTTCTTTAATGTGCTCAGAGACACACAGCACATACACGACTCTTCTTCAGTCACTCTTTAGTCATTGACCTTGAATTTGAGCAATTAGCTGAAAAGATCTTTCTCTTTAGATCAAGTCCTGTCATTCTTGAGCATACCGAGGCTTTATAGACTCTCTTTCTCTAAAGGTGTTGTCTATTCAGCTTACTCGAGCTGTAATCTGCTTTTGTAATGTTTACACAGGCCTCCCGAAAGTTTTTTGATCTCTTTCTAGGAGCCCCTATTTCCTCTGGCACTAGTGGAAAAATCCCTTTATGTTGAGTCTCCTGATCAGTGCATTATCTGATTTGTTCTCTGGAATGGCAAACGTCCTTCTGTCATTGATTCTCAGTAAAGCAACTGTTATGAGATAATCCAGACATAGTGCCACTTTGTAGGGATGTCCCGATCAGTTTTTTTGCCCCCGAGTCCGAGTCATTTGATTTTGAGTATCTATACCGAGTCCCGATCCGATACTTATATAATACATAAAAAAAGAATAAAGAAGAGAGAAAAAACAGATCCAGGATGTTCCTTATTTTTTCTTTAATTCACCTTATTTTAACATTCAACAACTCTGTTAACAAACAGAGCACTTCTGTGAGGTAGCTTGAACAATGAAGTAATAAATAACATAAAATCTTTACTTTTGGACTTTAGTGCAACAGTAAATATAGAAAAAGTCTAATATAAAAACAAATAGCGCCTCAACTTAAAATACCCGGCAGGCATGTAAACAAAAAATAAAAATGTTTTAAAAGTGTATAAAAAATAATGTGAATATATATATATATATATATATATATATATATATATATATATATATATATATAAATATATATATATACATTAGGGGTGTATATACAACAGTTCACAAAATTTGCGGTTCGGTTCGGTACGATACAGCAAAAAGAAAGAAATGCCAGAGAAATGTTCTATTTATTAAAAGAAAAACTATTTTTAAATAGGCCTAAGTTTGAGTTTTCCTACATCTTGAAACTTTCAGGTTTATAAATGGGGGTAATCTTTGAAGGATGAACAAATAATGTTTTGGTAATCACATTAAAAATAACATTTAAATATATATTTAGGCCTATATAATATTTGAGTATTGAAGTGCAACATTAAATCCATGTTCATTCACGACACAATGTTTCTCCTGGTTTCCATGTCAGCGCTGTTTGATCGAATAGAGATCTACGGTTAATAACGGAGAAATGTGAATGCTTCTCACTAGATCTCGCAGCGATGTTATTACTTCAGTGGCGAATTCAAATGTTTTCTTCACTGGATCTCTTAGCACAGTGTCGCTTGATTTCGCACTGCACAGATGTTGCTGGTCCGAACTGATAATGGTCCGTTAAGCACAATATAATGAGAAGCGCAGTTTCGTTCCGCTTTCATTACGTTTGCCATTTGATGTTGCGCAACGTTGTGGTGATCGCGCCAGCGCGAATTTTGTCTGCAGGAAAAATGGTCCTAGGAATCGTTCGGTTTGTATGCGTACCGAAGCGGAAGCCTTCAATAATTACGAATACATGTAGCGTTACACCCCTAATTTACATATATCCGAGTCCTGATCGGGAGGTAACGTCCGATTCCGATCGAGTCTGAAACCACGTGATCGAGTCCGATTTCCGATCGCGTGATCGGATCGGGACATCCCTACCACTTTGCGAACCTTTGTGAATGCACCTTTTATGTTATACCTTTGTATTTGTGAAAAATAATATTTTTTTTTGTCTTTTTTTTACCTGCATTTTATCAAGCCATGAAGAATTTGATGTAAGTGTTGTAGTCAGCTCTCTCTGCCCACACCAGGACCCCACCTCTGTAATTAAGCCTGACTGATAAAGGACTTGAACTTGCTGACAGGGGGATGTGGATCGCTGCCTCAGCACGGGATGCCCCGTCCCAGCCCAGGGTCATCAGTTCGGTGTGTGTTTGTGACAGGAAGTGAGCTATTGTTGTGGCCCCTCATTGGTACTATAAGAGTTACAGAAGCATGATGAAGAGGATA